AACTATTAAACTAATGACGTTTTCACCAATGATAATGACATTTTCACCTATTTCACCAATCTGATATCCAAAAAAAATTTTCTGAACTTAAAATCCTAAATCTCCATAGACCATGGAAGTTTAGGATTTTTAGTTCAACTGACTTTTTGTGTTTGACTTTCTCCAAAATAAACTACCAACCTCTTTTTTAAATTTTTTTATTAAAACAAACAAAATTTATAATCATCACACTAGGAATACAGAAAATAGTTAGTAACATTTTATGTTATTATTTTTATTTAGTTACTATCTTTGATAGGTATATACATTTTATATTGTAACATAGTTATTCTTAATAGTATTGATTCTTTATTACTATTGTTGATACTTTTTGTTATTATTATAATTATTACATATATCATTGTTATTTGTTTAACAATCTTTTCTGTTTTTTTTCTCTTATTTATATTTTTATGTTTTTTAGGTGTCACTCCATTTGCTGTATTTAGCTTTATAAGTTACATCTAACCAAAGTCAATTAATTTACAATGACCACTTGTAAATTTTTATTTATATGGTTAAATACAAAATTAAATAAAAAGTTTACTTATATTCAGACATACAACATGTACCATCTAATTAAAAAACCATCAAGATATATCAGAACCACCATTGATTACCCATAAAATGATCAGCTAAACACTCTTGAAGACCGAATATGCCGAGTATTAAAATTCCCTGACCGCATTTACCTGTATTTAGGCACGCAACGTGTCCCATCTAACTGGAAAACATTTGGACACCTCAGGGCCACTCTTGAAAACTATCAAAATGACCATTTAAGCGGTCATGAGCACTTCTAAATAAAAAATATGCCCAAATTTAAACTCCCTGACAGCATTTCATTATATTTATACATACAACATTATAACCACCCTTGACAACCCCTAAAATAGACACTTGTGTGGACATGACCACTCAAAAAAATAAAACGAAACCCAATAATGAAATCCTTGGACCCAAAAACCTCTATATACATTTATCACGTATCTATATTTAACCCAAAAATAGTTTTGCCGTTTTTAGACAGTTCTACCCCACTGTACAGTGTATTGAAAGTCTAAATGAGAATAAGTAATTGTTCAATATTTTTTTTTTGTAGAGGTACAACTGTTGCAGTTTCATTTATTTTTGTTTATTTCTTTTTATTTTGAATCCTTTTAACTCAAAAACCTTATTAACAAATTTATAATTCAGTTCATTGTATTATTATTGAAAAGTTAGTGAAACACGAGGTAAGACCTTTCACAAAATGTGTACCATTAAATGGTTTATAGATCTATTTATTATTGCGAAGTTTTAATTTTTCTTTATAGAAATTTTTTCAAATAGAAATTTAAATGAAATTTGATCATAAAGAATCAAATAGTATGGTAAAATTCCGACTCTCTTTTATAACAACTACATAAACCCAGTGGGCATTTCGACGTCGAACGAACGTCGAGCGACGTCGGATCTCGACGTCGGATCGACGTTGGGTTTACGTTGGAAATGGAAATGTTATTTGACGTCGGATAAACTGACATCGCAAGACGTCGGCATTCCGATGTAAATCCAACGTGTTTTTTGAAAACTAAAAAACGTTGTCTTAGGCAGGAATCGATCCTCGGTCTACTAATAACTAAATCCTACGCGCTTACCACTACACCACAGCGACATATTAATTATCAGTTTATTTAGTAATTCATAGTTGTAGCTATTTGGGAATTATTACTTTGATAAGAAATAATTTTGTTTAAATATTATATAAATATTAAAACGAATAGTTATATATTATAAAAAATGTATACTCGAAAATGTTAATAGTTAAAAAACTATGCTAGTGCATCATACAAAACTTCATGATGTTTTATCAACCATTATTCAAACTTCTTTCCATTAATAAAAAACACGCTTAGTTCACATATTTATTGAAGAGCGCAATTGCACACATATATTGTTGGGTTTGGATTAAATTTTCATCAGCGATGTCTTACGACGTTGTTCCGACGTCGTTTTAAGGACGTTGGATTGACGTCGAAAGACGTCAAAAGACATCGGAGTACGTTAATAATATGACGTTGCCCGACGTCTTTTTATCGACGTTGGATCGATGTCAGTACTGCGACGTTTTTTGGACGTCTATTATAAGATGTCGGAACAACGTCAAAATACATCGAAACGACGTCAGGGGATGTTGAGATAAAGACATCGCCCGACGTCATTTTACTGACATCGGAACAACGTCGGAATAGGTCTTTTGACATCGCTGATGAAAATCGTACGTAAATCCGACGTCGGATTGACGTCGGGTGCCCACTGGGAAACTACATTCCATTTATTGACTAAATTGTTTAGGGAAAATAGGCTATATACAATAAATCAATTTTAATCAATGAAAATAGTGAATAGACTTTAATAATACTATAAAATCTTACCTTTGACATCCATAAGGAAGTCACTACGTTTATAAAGCACAGGATCTTTTCTCTCCAAATAGTTAATTATAGACGTTTGCTGATTCTGATTTGCTGATTATATTGCATAGAATAATAATTTTTTATGTTTTACTTAATTGCTAAAGCATTTAGCGACAGAACATGTTAAATTCCAACTTCTTTTTTTTGTTTGGTTTTTAGTTAAATAACATTGATTGGTGCACTTGCAAAGTTTACTCCAATAATATAGTTTTTAAAACTTTAACTAAAAAATTAAAAAGTTGTGAAATAAAATCAAAAATAAAAGTGTATTGTGACTCTCAGTTCTTACAATATTTTTCATTTTACTCGACTTTTTTTTGTTATTTTCTTCGCGTACATACAAATACCTTATTGCATAGCATTTAATGGAAAAGGTCAAATTTTAGAAAGTTTTCTTTAGCAAGTTATCTTTAAAGGTGAAATCAATTGTAATGTTGATAGTTTCCTTAAGTAGAACTTTTGTAAATAAAACTTTATCGTTTGAAAAGATAAATACTCTTTATGTTAATTTGGTTTAAACAATAATTCATTCTTCAACAAAAGTAAATGATATATAATGAAAAATTGTTTAGATACATGTAATGACAATAAAAAAAAAAGATGTTCGGCAAAATTGTAGTAGTCATTTATTGTAGTCGCAATTATTAAAACTATAAACCGAGAAGTTGGGAGAGAATTATCTTTTCTGAGTTTAGACGAATAGTTTTTATTTGTATAAGTAATTATTTTCCAGATAGAAAAGTTCGTTTTTTATTTAAGGCAATTTTATTTCAGAATTGTTATTTTTCATTTGAGTGTTTAGAAACTGCCAAACTCAATCGAATTAGAAAAATTGATTTAATTCAAATTTTCTATTTATAATTACATAAATAAAACTTGTTTTAATTTTAGTTACAATGATTAAACTATGATTGTAGCTGCGGGTCAGTATTGTCAAAAATAAAAACTCCTTCTAAAAATGGAACTCTGGAAAAGATTGGATAACTTTTTTTAGAAAGCGTCATGTAGATAAACTGCGATTACGTTAACCTGAAATACTTACATTGTCCAGAGTTTAACACACGGACTCTTTATACAGTCAAATAAATAAGTATCCAAACTAAACATTATGTTATGAAAAAAAGTTAGACAGGTTGTTCAAAAAAAAAAAAACTTAATAAAAAAAAAACTGTGTGGTTACTCTAAAATAAAATTTATTAAGAATTCAATAAGCAAAAAAAAAAAAAAATACAACATTTTATTTAGTTGCTAAAAATTAAAGATACATTAAAAATATTTAAGTTTTATCATTTAATAAGTATCCTAACAACATATTAAAGATTCAACGTGCTTCAGACTGATTTTTATTTTTACTTTTCTTAATATCGAGTTACATCGCATTTAGTTTTTATTGCTTTAGCAAGTTAACATGGCATTGATTTAACTATTTTCTTTGTTGTATCTGAATTGATACGAGTCCAGGCTTCTTGACGCATAATCTTTAGCTCTTTTGATCTTTAGTTCCATTTGACTTCCCGTTGTTATTAACAATAATATTATTGTTAATATTGTGAACTCCAATGAAGTCTTAAAAATTTGGAGATAAAAAGAATAAACATTCACACTCAGTTGCATTCAAGGAACAGTAAAATTCAGAGAAGGCAAGGTTATGGTGTAGAGATTAATAGTTTGAAACAAAACACCAATGATGGAGTCTGTTGATGGAATTATAAACTCTAAGATTCATGATAGAATTATCAAAAAAAATCCTCTGGCCTAAACTAAAAACTGTGGTTTGTAAAACATTTTCTTTCAACAAAACAACGACTATAAGCATACCTCAAAAAAAGCGAAATGTCTTTTTATTCAGAAACAGATTAGTTGACTTAAATGGCTGGCTCAAAGTCTTGTTCTCAAACCAATTGAACACCTCTGAGCTATTTTGGATTGAAAATACACGACACGCGATGACTAAAAAACAAAAGAAGAACTAATAAACATGCTCAAAGAAGCATGGACTCTTATTTATTCAGATATCACAAAGAAACTTGTTAAATCAATGCCATGTTGACTTGCAGAAGTTATAAAGACTAAAGATGGTCCAACTCAATAATAAAAAAAAATTGCTTGAAAAAACATTTAGTGTTTAAAATTAATGTTCGGATAAATACAGATGTTCGGATAAATATTTAATGCTAAAAAATTGCATAGTTTAAATGTATTTTAAATTTTTAATCAATTAAATATAAATATTGTAATTTTTTTTTTTAATTGTTTTTTAATTAAATTATCTTTCAGAATAACCATACAGTTTTTTATTATAAAGTTTTTTTTCTTTTGAAATAACCTGTTGAGGTTTATTTTTCATGATAAAACTTTTGTTTGGATAGTTATTTCTTTGACTATATCATTCTTTGTATTTAATTTTTGTTATTAACTTTTTATTTTTATTTTTATTTTAATTGATGCGTAAATAAATATATTTAACCTTTCATTTAGTTTTCATTAACTTTTTTTTTTAAGATACTAATGAGTGCTTACAAAAACCATGTTTTTGGAGCAATGGAGAATGTGTAAACTCTATTGGCAGTTATTATTGCACATGTGCAAGAGGATGGATAATCAGTCAATATAATAATAGCTGTGTTGGTGAGTTGCTTGCTAAATAATAGGTTGAAAAATCTCTAATGAGGTAATTTTGTTACATATTTACTGCAAGTTATACTTTCTAGTTGCACTTACTGTTTCTTACATTGTTGTTTTTTATTGTATCGTACTTGTCAGTTTTTTTTTCAAAATTATTTTTTCAACTCTCAAACATAAACTCAAAAAGCGGGATTTTTTTAATCAAGAATAAGTAGGGTGCAAACACGTTAAGTTAAACAACGTTGAGTGCAGTATCAAGTGCATATACATTTTTAAGTTACCCCGGAGTCCAGGGTTGAGGGCAAATATGTGTTTGTGTTTGGTATTATTATGCTAAATTGATATATTTGTGTTCGTATTGTATTTGTTAATTTTTTTTCAAATTTTTGCATTGGTCTTTGATTATAATGTATTTGTCGTTCCATAAGCTATGTTGTTATTTTTTTATCACTAAAATTGTTTTAAATTTATTATTTAAGAAATATTTACTAGTACACCATTTTTTTAGCATTGTCTTGAAAAATATTTGTATTTTTTCTTAACCTATAAAATAAATACTTGTATTTATTTCTGCAAAATGCAGGTTGTTGTATATTTTATTCAAATTGGTATTTGGAAATCTAGAAATAACGTACTTAAATTTTTATTTGGTTTATTGTATTTGACCCCATTCCTGCCCTGGACATTCACAACAAAATCATCAATCCATTTTCTATAGTTTAAAAAACTTATTTCTTAAAACAAGAAATATATTTCTTGTTTTTAAAAATAAAATGCAGGGTAAAAAATTTTCTTCCTTAAAACAAGAACTAAATTTCTAATTTTTAGAATATTATTTAATAATAAGAAATAAATTTTGCTGTGAACAAACTTTAGCTCCGGTTGCTTATTGATTAAAATTAAAACAATTTGTTATATTTAATATATAACTTATATTTGTAATATTTGAATCTGTTAAAGTGAAACTAGTTGATTTTATTCAACTTTGAAAACACTTACCTTTTTTAAATATAATTTGACTTGTCACGGTATTTTATATCATTAACAATCGTGTATTATTAAAAAAAAATATAATGTTGAGTACCACAAGAATTAATATGCTTTATGCCATATTGACACACACACACAGACACACACACACACACATATATATATATATATATATATATATATATATATATATATATATATATATATATATATATATATATATATATATATATATATATATTTAAAATATATATATATATATATATATATATATATATATATATATATATATATATATATATATATATATATATATATATATATATATATATATATATATATATATAGGGGAAACTGGGGTAAAATAGGGTATATATGTATATATATATATATATATATATATATATATATATATATATATATATATATATATATATATATATATATATATATATATATATATATATATATATATATGTATATATATATATATATATATATATATATATATATATATATATATATATATATATAAGGGAAACTGGGGTGAAATGGGGTACTTAAGAATGAAACCCTATAAAAGTCACAAAAATAAATAAAATGATTACAAATAAATGTTGAAACATCAGAATACAACATAGACAACATTGTGACAAAACTGCAAGTCAAAAGAATGTAAATTAATTAGTTTATTACATTTTTTTAAAAATAACATAAAAACCCCATTTTACCCCAAGCATGGGGCAAAACGGGGTAATGGATGGGGCAAAATGGAGTCAAATGAGGAACTCAAACAAATATGATAAATCAATCACTGCTAGTACAAATATAATCAATCACTGCTAGTACAAATATAATCAATCACTGCTAGTACAAATATAATCAATCACTGCTAGTATATAGCTCACACAAAAAGTAAGGTTTTTTGTTTCTTTCATCAATGCTAGTACAAGAATAATGGGCCTATCTGTGGCACTCAGTATATGAGACCCAACTCTCTGTGCTGCTGGAATAAAGATCCTCACAATAGAGACATGGTGTGTCTTCATTTGATTTTTTGACAGATTTGTTTTTCTTTGGATTCTTTTTTTTTTGGCTTCCATTAATGATCTTTATAAGGCGAAGAAGTCAAAATAGCTGTTTTTTCTCCCTGTTTAGAAATACGTTTTCTTTAAGCCTGTTTTGGGATGGGCAGCAAATGACGTGGCGAAATTGCAAAGCTTAAAGCTACAGTGGTTGATGTGCTAGACCTACATGAAGTTGAAGGTTCAGTGGCGGATGTGCTACCGGTACATGAAGTGGAAGGTTCAGTGGTTGATGTGCTATCTGAAGGTTTAGTGGCAGGAGCAGAGACAGTGGTAAGGGCTGAATCCGTGGTAACAAAACTTTCAGTATCCTCAGTAATAATGCTCATGTCTGTTACTTCCGCTGCTATAAAATCAGCATCAGTAAATACTGACTTATCCACTGGCCAAATACCTGCTTTATTAAATCCATTGATTGCATTAGTCATGGTAGCAGCATCAAGATATGACGCACCAAACAGTGATGCAATTTAAAATTGCGTTACGACACGCCCAAGATTTGTTCTTAACCATTTCCTTAAATTATGGTAATAAAATGTACTCAGAGGTTTCATAAACGAAATGTCAAGAGGTGGCATTTTGTGAGTGCAGCGTGGAGGCAAACAAAGGAGAATGACACCATTCTCTCTGGCAATGTCAATAAGCTCTATGCTTTTAGTGTGTGTCGCATGTCCATCTAATATTAAAAGAACTACTTTCTGCAGATGTAAGAGAGTCAACTTGCCTTTTTCCTTTTGTGGATATAACTTTTGACAGTGACTTAGGGACAGTAGAAATGCCTGTTTCATTGACGTTCCATACTCTTTCGACATCAATTTTATTTATGTCAATGACATAAATAAACTTCTCAATAAGCTCGAAAAATTTATTAACGGCTACTTTATTAAAGCCAATTGCTCTGGCTGCAGATGTCGCTTCAGGCTTTCTCAGTGACAAATGTTTGGCATGTCTCAACATAAAACCCTGATACCAGTCGTAACCGGCCACCCCTAACTCTTCATTAAATTTATGAGCCTTTTTATTTTTTTCAGCCAGTTCAAAGAAAAGTTTTCTCAGCTCATAGGAGGTTAGGCCAAAAAGCATTTTCTTCATCTGCTGAACATACTGAACAAGTTCTGCCTCCTCTTCCAATATAAAGATAGTTTTGAATGCGCTTAGCGCTAAAAAAGAAATTAAAATTAAAAATTAAAATTAGAATTTACTAAATAAAGATGCTTTTCATACGAATTCATTTATTTAGAACATATACCATAGCCTATTTTCTGGCATTTAATTTAATATTTAAAAATGTGAAAAATTCCTAAATTTAGATTGTGCTTAATCCGTTTACTTACTCTTTTTGCAAGCATCCTCAATATCAAGATTTTTCTTAAATTTAGCCACTCTGCGTTCGAGGGTTGTCTGTGGCACACTATACATTGCAGCTGCCTTTTTATACCAATGATCACCATTGATCACAGACAGTACGGCCTGCTGCATTTTCGGTTTCATTCCAAGTTTGGCGTTCAGATATTCTTTTGTAATTTCTCATTTTTTTCAAAGTTAATAATCTGAAAAAATAAAATAAAACAACTTTAATATCAGCAATTCAAGTACGATTTAGTAAGAACTAAACAAATAGGCCTACTATTATTATAATAAAATTTCAGAATTATTTTTTTACTTAGCTAGACTACTTAGACTTAGAATTGGGGAATTTATTTTATGTTTCTCTGAGACACTAAATGAATCACTATTTGTTTAAGATATATATATTTCGTTTATAACGTTATACTCCACTGACTGCGAATCACTAACTAATTCTACAAAATAGCTACACATATAACGTGAGAATTGCGCAGATGCGCAATTCCCAAGTGGTTTTAAAAACTTGTTTAAAAAATGGTTTTTCAAGTTTATAAGTTCTTTACATTCTTCTAAGCCCGTGCCTATGAAGTTCTATTGCAAAATAACCCGTTAATTGCTCTTTAGACGAGATTTCCAACATAGATGACTTAGCTCAAACTAGACTTTCTTATTTTATATTTATAGTTCTATAGTATAGGCTATAATAATACTTTAACTGAACTTTAACAACAATAAAATTATATTTTAAAAATAAACTAGTATTAAGTGTTAGTATTATTTATTTAAAGAACCTAGGCCTATTAAATAAAATTATAGCAGGCCTATTGAGCCTATTAGTAATTTAAAAAAATAGAATCACGTTTAAATATAAACCACATCTCATTTCTATAAATTAGATAAATAACACTACCGGGGCAAAATGGGGAAATACCCCGTTTTGCCCTTTTGAGACACCCCATTTTACCCCAACATAGGAGGCATAATAAAACTGTTCGAAAAAACAAAGCAGAGCAAAGCTCATGAATATATAAGAGTCTTAATTGCTTAATATATAATATCATTCAGGATCCAAATAAGGTGGATATTGGTGACTAAATCGTGAAACTGGAAGTGAATGATGGTGGTGGTTTTCTTAAAGTATGCTTTAAAAAGTGGAAAAAAATTTAGCTTCACAATCGCTACCATCAAAACAACTTCTCACCAATTCTCTGGCCAAAAATTCTGGTGTTAAGAGTCAGATATAGTTGCTATTTCTGAAGATCTTTAGGAAAACTGTAACAATGTTAAGCAAGTTTTTGATTTTCTGAACCTTGAAGAAATTTTCTTTAGTTTTTCCAGTGATATGATACTGGCAAATATCATTTGTGGTCAACAAGCACATTCTAGTACATACCCGTGACTATTTATCAATATATCTTCCAAAGTCTCTAAGAACTTTTAGATCAATCAGAAAATGTGCAACCATTTTTCTTCTTTAATGTTGTTAACTTTAAAGATTAAAGTTCTTATTTTATTATCAACTATAAGTTGATTTTTTTTTTCCTTTAAATCTTTCATTTAATTTTTTGTAGTTTTTTCTGCCGTTTGCATAATTTTTGCAATAAAGAAATTAATTTTATATAAATATAAAATTATCAATTGCACGTTTGCAATTTTTTTTTCTCTTTTATTGATCAATTAATCAAAGAATCAGGCATATATATTTGAAAATACCTTTTTAGTCAAAACTTTGTTTAATCTAAACTGGTGTAATAGTAATGTTGTTTGTTTTTTTTTACATTGGTAATTGCTACAGTAGAATTTAATAAATTAATTTTTTTTTGACTAAGTAATAAGCATTTAGTGTCTAAAATTTTTTATAAAAAAAATATTTTGATATTTAAAAAAATTTCAACATTAATTAAATACAGTTACTTAAATGTTACTAAACTTCCCTCTGAAAATTAAGTAAAAATGTGTGCGCCCAAGAGTTATTTTATTTTTAACATTTTTAACAGTTATTTTACTGTTAACATTAACAGGTAACCTAAACCTTACTTACTTGCAAGTTTCCATTTAAAAAGTTCATTGATTTTATTTGGAACCATTATTTTAAAAAGAATTAGAGTTCCTTACTTTTCAAGCCTTAAATTATTGTATTTGTAATGTTTAGACATAAAATACTATATTATTATATGATAAAAATTAACTGTAGATTCCACGTGTTAGCCGTTTGAGTTGATTGCTTGCACTCAACTCCTTACTTTTAATAATATACTTTTTAACAATCAATATGGTTTTGGATCACTATATTTTAAAGCAGATTATCAAACAAATATATGCTATTGATTAAATTTTGATTAACATTAAAAGCTTTTATTAAAAATTGCATGCTGGTCTTTACCATAGGTTCGCTTCATATAAAGTATCTAGGAATACTTTTTGAGATTATCAAACTGTTTTATGCTAACAGTAGTATTTAAGTCAATCTCAAAGACAAACACTTTTCTACATTTTCAGTAACTTCTGGGGTACCTCAAGATTTAATCTTTGGTCTGTTTTGCTTCTTATCTACATTAATAATCTTCCTGACAACTTTACACCTAAAATGGCTCTATTTGCTAGTAACTCAACTTTAAACTCCGGTCTTGACAAAAACATCTTTTTATCTTTTTGATCACTCAATACAATCTTGAGTCTGATCTCGCTTCGGTAACAGGTTGGGGTTTGCAGTGGAGTTAATTTTAACTCCAACAAAACTCATTTGTTTATTAGTTAGAATTTTGTAAACATTCCTATCTTAATGAATGTCAACTCACTTAATGAGTTTATTATTTAAGACATCTGAAATTATCATTCTCTACTGATCTCTCATGGAAACCATATATATAACTGGTTGATTAATTAGTATCTGCTTATGTTACTTCTTTTTTATGTGCTTGCTATTATCTTACTCCTGATTCTATTTTTACCTCTACAAACCTCTCATTGTTTCTTTTTTTGAATTCTGTTGTTATATTTGTCAAATGTAACATTTTTTAAATACTGTAGTCATATTTAAATCTTGTAAAAATGCTCTTTTTCTTTAGGAAATAGCAAACCTGCATTATTTGCTTGTGCCACTTTCCCATTGTCGTAAAGTTACATCTAATTATTTTTTTTAATACTATGGTGGTCGCTGCTAAAAGAAGCTACCATCTCTAGCATCATTAACTAAAACTTATTTTTGCATCACATGTCATTCAGCAAACTTGAACTCTTTTTTGGTACCTGTCCCTTTATATTCTAAAAACCTTTTAAAAATCTAAAATTTCTACTCGCACTTCAATGCTATGGAACTCTCTAATTTTTATCTTTTCATGACTTAGACAACCTACAAGATTTAAAATAATCTGTTAACTAATAACTTAATAGTACTTGCTTTCAGCCTTGTTGGGAATAAGTTAATTTTAAAAACAAAATAACTATATAAATACCTATGCCTCCTATTGCTCTCATTTCAATTTGATTTTATTATAACTAATTTGATTTGAGTATTTTTGTATGACCAATTTGATATTAGTATGACCAGTTTGATTGAGTATGACAAATTTCAGCGTGACCATTTAAGCAACTCAAGTGTATAGATTTATTTATATTATGAATTTGTATTGTAACAAAAAATATATTCTTTATGAAAATAATTTAATTTTTGTCTAGATGTTGATGAGTGTACAACAGGGTCGACGTTATGTTCTTGGGGTAAAGGAGAATGTCAAAATACAAACGGAAGTTATTTGTGCTTGTATCCAAGACAACGTCAAGATAACAATATATTTGTTTGTAAGTATTTTGTACTTTTATATTTATTTGTTATGAACTTCTTTAAATTTATACATCAGGTTAAAATTATATAGTCAGGTTATGTAACAATCTACCTGGTTTAATAAAGATAGAAGTTTAAAGCTTATAAATATTCTATTCAAAGCAGAAAAAAAAACTTGTAAAAACAAATTTCAAATACACAGTATGGATGTAAATTACGAAAAAAATATAGAAAAAATTGAGAAGACTCAGAAAAAATACTCAAAAATTTGTTAAAAGCATTGGTGCCACCTGCTTGCCACTTTTCTAAAACCTATTAGCAAATTGTTAAATAAATTAAATAAAACTCTCTCTGCACCCTTAAAATAAAAATCTAATTCAAGTTTGACTTTTATTAGTTAAATTTATTTTTTCAATATTTTAATTGAATGAACTTTTGATTTTTTTTTTGTTTTATTCATTGATAAGTATTCATAAAGTTCTTCAATCTTATTATTGTATTACTCCACATTTTCTTCATAAAATTTTTTATCAGTTATCTCTTGATTCAAAGCTTTGCAAACAGTTATAATGGTTTCCTTAGCATCTACCAGCTTTTACTTTAGAAGGCTAGCACTAAAAAAAGTGATGTCACTCAGCGAACTAAAAAAACAAAAATAATGGATTAGGATTATAAAAAGGAAAATAAGACTTAATTTAATATGGTTAACTTTTGTGTTAATGGAATTTGTAACAATATATATAGTAAATTTTTTATTCATTTCATTATATTGTATTCAATACATACACCCATACATACATACATCCATACATACATCCATACATCCATACATCCATACATACATACATACATACATACATACATACATACATACATACATACATACATACATACATACATACATACATACATACATACATACATACATACATACATACATACATACATACATACATACATACATACATACATACATACATACATACAAACATACATACTTACATACATACATACATGCATGCATACATACATACATACATACATACATACATACATACATACATACATACATACATACATGCATACATACATACATACATACATACATACATACATACATACATACATACTTATATACATACATGCATACATACATACGTACATACATACATACATACATACATACATACATACATACATACATACATACATACATACATACATACATACATACATACATACATACATACATACATACATACATACAAACAAGCATACACATATATATACATAAATACTTTTACTTTTTGCAGATCCTTTGGTTGAAACTATTACCTCAATATCAAATGGATATTTTGTTGCTCTGATAACAACGCTAAATAAAGAGTTTTTAATAACATTTAATTTTTTTCCAAACAAGTTTGATGGTAGTAGAAGTGTTATTTGTTTTTCTTTGGAGTTTGAAGCGTGTAAATTGTCAGTACTTACTATTACAGTTGATCCAGAAGGTTTATTAGTTTTTGATAAAAGTGGTAAAGATCATTTTAACACATTCAAATACCCTATAACATTAAATATGTGGTCAAACATTGAAGTCAGTCAAATATCGACAATTAATAAATTTGAATATAACTATATTATCAAAATAAATAAAAATGTTGTATTTTTCACTACAATAAAAGACGAATATCAGTATGATGATATCAAAGTTTATGCTTCAGATACATTTTACAAAGCTCAAGATTCCTCTATAGAAAAATTTTATTTTATAAATGGAAAATCAGGTATGTTTTATTTATTTACTCTTATTTTTTTTATAAATACTAGTTTATGATTCAATATTTCTTTTAAGTTATAGACCAGAAGCGATATAGTTCCATTAATTTTTGTATTTGGTCCTTTGTAAAAAGCCAGAACAACGACTAATATTAAGCAATTAACAGAATATATATGACCTACACTTTGCAATAAAAATAAATAAATCTATTAAATGAATTGAGTAGTAGGTAACAATATAAAATCTTAAATATGTATACATTTTGATTTTAGTTTAGGCCTTCCTAAAATAAATTTTATATAAGTTTTTAAAGAAAATATCCGTGATGACATCTAACAGACATATGTATTTACTTGTTTGGTAAAGCATGGGTTGGATAATACCTATTACCAAACTACAAAACTAAGCTAATTGGATACATGCACTTTGTATTATTAAACACAAGTATTAAAATATTTCATTTAAATTATGCGATTAATGTATATAAAGAAAATAAGTTGCTTTTATTGTAATCAATCAAATAAAATCAAGTATATTTTGAATTAGGAAACAATATTTCAAAAAATTTACAATAGCACAAGTACTAATATATAGTAAATACCTGAATATACAACATAAAAATATAGAAAAAAATGAAAATAGTAATAGTGTTATTAAATGATATCAATAATAATAGTAATAATAAAAAAAACAATAATAAAAAACATTAGAACTAGAAGCAAATAGATAAATGGAGAACCCCAAAATGTTAAAAGTATTAAACCAAAAAATAAAGGATCACAAATTGGTAGATATAATAAAGAATTTCAATATTATTTTGTAGAAATATTTAATTTTATCTTTTTAACAAATAATAAGAAAGCTTGATTTTAAAATCAGAAATTGAATTAAGATGTTTTAGATTAGAAGGTGAATAACTAAGTTTAACCTACTGATCAAACAAAAAGAATAGTGACAGTTTTTACTTGTTAATAAGTTGTTAAACAATAGGGAAAGTTTCTTTTTGATAATTGTTCCAGACAAAGTTGCAGTTAAGAAATATCTCAAGGTTAAAAACTTTTTTATATTGAAGATATGGTATAGCACATTAGATTTATAGTTATTTTACTGAAAATATATTATTTTCAAAGTTATATTTTTAAAATGGGACAACCTTAGATTGTTTTTTTAAAGATAAAATTCTTATATTTGACATGCATTTCTTAGATGGAACCCAAAATCAGCATGGTATATATTTAGCAGAGTATCTAGATTTATATAATGGCAAACTTTGGCTAGAACTTCTTTAGATCTACTGAGTTTCACTGTTAATTCATGTTGATAGTATTAAAGAGAAGTCTAAAAAGATATTTATTAAAGTCTCTTAGTTCGCTTAGTCAGAAATTTACGTACTTATTAATTGGATTTAAGAAGACCAGCTCTGTTTTAATGAAATTGAGAGAAAGTTTATAAGAACTGAATTTTGTGTTACGCAGATTGAGCGATTCTTTAAATTAAATTTAGTGCCATTATAGGAAACTAAATGTTTCCTGTTTAAAAAATATGAAGTAATCTATTTTAGTGTAATCCCTCTGATTCCATAATGTTCCAGTTTGTGTTAAAGGATCCCCAGTATCAAAAGCTTTTTTCATAAGTATGATGACTGTGTTTGGTGGAAAATCCATATTGATTTTCGTAAAAGAATTTATTTTTTTCTTATAACTTGTGTAGCCTTTTATGTATAACTTATCACAAAATTTTCTTCATTTGAAAAGTCTAGTAAGGACCCTTTTTTTTAATTTGGAATAACTTCAACTTCAGGGATATGCCACTTTTAGAAAATTTATTTATTATAGTGCAAAGAGTTACGGAGATTTTTTAAAAATAAAGTTTAAGAAATATGTAATTATGCGATTAGGTCCATAACTCTAATCATTTATAAAAGGATTGTAAATAAAAATAGATCTCATCTTCACTTAAAGGATTAGTAAATAAAGAATTTGTATTACACAAGATAAGAAAGTTAACATAAGCTTATTTTAAAGAAGAAATTTCATTAAAGTTGTTTTTCATGAATAGATACTAAATTATTGTTATATATATTTAAAAGAGTGGCATGATCTGTAAAGATATTTTCATTCTGATTGAGTTAATGAGATGATGATTTAATATTATGTTTTTTTTTTTTACGTAAATCTCAAGTCATAAAAAACTCTAATTTATTTTAAACAGCAGGCTTAAAAAAGCACCACCTTTTATCGGCCTTACTGGGGCAATGCCTAATATTGAATCCATTATTAGCTATGTCTGTTATATTGGTATCATTAATGTATTTGTTGGATTCAGTAATTGGTATTGCCAAAAGTATGATTTTAAATGTGCTGATAAGTCTGTACAGTTTATCAATGTAATTGGGAAGTAATGCAGTTTTAATATAAAAATATAGATCTGATTAAAGTTTGACAGCAATATTAAAGCAATAACATCATAGATTTTACAATTTATAGCAGAATCAGAGATTGTATGGAAGTTCCTTATGTATTTTTCTTAAATGAGTTGGAGATACAAGAAAGAATTTAAGAATGCAGTTTGTTAATTTTTCTATGATAATATTAACAAAAGCGCAAAATCAGTAAGTAAACCAGTTGGCATAGTTTTAGATATACAGTTGATACAATACCACTATGAAAAATCTTCAGCTAGAAAACTATAAGTGAGAAAATCTAATTAGCTGCACTTAGCATGAACCCATGGATTACAGCAGTCATAGAGGTTGCCGAGGAGATTATCTGTTACAGTTTTGAATCAAAAAATACAGTGTTTTAGTTTCCATAACCGGATAGATTAAATGTTACTATGTATTACTATACATAGTAAATTTTTTCTATCCGGTTATAGAAAGTAAAACACTGTGCATTTTTGCTTCATAACTAAACAGGTAACCACGTAGTTATCTTATGTGACTGCTGCAATTTGTGGGTTTATGGTAAGTGCAACCAAAAAGATTTACTATTGGTAAGCACAGAATCTTATGAAAAAACTTAAGAGTGATTATTGATATATTTAATATGATGAAATTATAATCAGAGAGTAATGATGAAGCTAAGTGGATTTGCATAAGAAACCAAAATCTATTGCAGCACAATACAGGTAAGATATATAAAGATATGTAGATAGTGTTGACAACTAATATATTAGGTGACTTCAATTAATTTTTAAAGATAATTAAAATTGTAAATAAACTAAAGTATGGTTCACTTTTATAGAGTTCATAAACACGCTGATCAACTTTATCTGAATAAAAACGATACCTGTTCTGCGTATATTGTTATGTAAAATGATTTAATATCTTAGGTTATTAGTTTCTCCAATATATACTATTTTTTCCATTATCTGTATTTAATGATAAAACATTTATCCATTATTTTGCCATTACCTATATTTAATGACAAAAATGTTTTAACAACTTTTAAAACTGCATAACATTAAAGTCTTGTTGTTCCATACTTTTTCCGACAAGATTGTAAAATAATTAAGAAATAGAAGGCGCATACTGCAAATCCGAGCTTACAACATTTGGATTTTAAAACATTGCACTTACTAATGTAAATAGGTTTCTTTTTGTGACTTGGTGTTATTTTTTATCTTAAAATATTTTATAGTTGGCAGTGCCATAATACAATTGAAAGGCTTTAAAAAGGTTTTTTGTTGTTGTCAAAGACAGGTATTATCAAAATATCATGTTTGTTTGTATCAAGATGTTTTTACAAAGGTATTATTTTAATTGCGTCTTTTTTCTAAGCTGTTGCTCCTCTTGAGTTTTTGAAATTTATGTTAATAATTGATTTTACAGGTGGCCTTTTCACTAAAATTAAATTTATTTTACTTTAATAATTTATAGTTTTATACCGATAGATCATATCTTCACATGAAACACAGATAGATTCATCTTCAATCTTCTTTAAATGAATTACATATTATTCATGAGTCCACTTTCATCAGTATTCATCATATCTTCAGTACACGTCACATACCTCCTGTACACCACCTTTAAAAAACAAACTACAAATTTTTATTTTACCTACTTCTAAATTCGATATTGAAATTTAAAATCATTGTGAAAAAATATATTTTCTGAAACATCTTGTTAATTCGTTAAAATCTGAATATAAATTTGGATCACTAAATCTTGGCTGACACCATATGAAATGCACATGAACGTAAGCTACTATATCAGGAATGTGAGACCTTTTTACACCTCTAACTGCTGATCAAACTTGTATTGTTGTTTTTCATAAATACCGTTTAACTAATTGTACTATTTTAAGTGCAGATCATTTTACATCACACCAATCAAATCTAAATAATTTATAATAGTCAACAATTTTTATGAAATTAGTATCTAAAGAAAATGCAAAAAATTCAATCAAATGGTTTGTTGAAGCATTAAATTCTAACTGCAGTAGAATTAAATTTGAACTGGTTAACGGAGTTGATGTGGTTAAGGATTTTTAGGCCATGTAAGAAGAATTTTGTTATAGTTTGTTATATCATCTATTCTCTTAAAAAATAAGAATTAACTTGAACTAAAAATTATAACAGGAATCATTAAACATTATGTGTTTAGCTGCTAGCTTACTTAAATAATTAAAAAAGTAAAGTTTGTTTTTATTTAGGCTTCTTTTATTCATATTTATGTTATATATCATTTATTATTACTAGCAGTAAGCAACCCGTAATACTGATTATTTATAAAAATTTAAATTAAGTCAAATCATTAATAATAGTAAAAACTCATTATTAACTCGATATATCATTTAAGAAAAAAATAATATTTATTTACAAATATTATTTTAAGTTGGACTTCATAACAGCAATGCTTTTGCTTATAGATTATAAATTTGCTTATAAATTTGTCACAACACAGCAGATACCAGAAGAGGAAAGGCAAGTAAAGCCTGTCAATACCTAAAAAACAAAACAAAAAAAAGTTACAATTTTCAATAACAAAAGCAATACTTGAGTTTT